TTGAATTTTTACGTCTACATACAGAAATAAATACAAAACAGTGTTGGTTTTTTTCCTTATTTTACTGAGGCATAACTTTTAAAAAATATTTTGCCATTACCATTTATTCTCCTTATACCTTCTTCCACCTGTACCCACCTCACTGCTTCTCCCTGCAATCATCACACTGTTGTCCATGACCATGTCCATGAGATGTTTTTTTTTGCTTGATCCCTACTCCCTGCCTGGACCTGACAGCCTGCTCTCTATCTATGAGTCAGTCTCTTGCTTGTTAGTTCATTTTGTTCATTAAATTGCACATATAAGTGAAATCATATGGTATTTGTTTTTCTCTGACTGGCTTATTTCATTTAATATAATATTCTGCAGGTCCATCCATGCTGTTGCAAAGAGTAAAATCCCTTCCTTTGTGTGGCTGAGTAGTATTCCATTGTGTAAATGTAACACTCTTCCCTTCTTTTACTGGAGCCTAGAGTAAGTGGCTGCAAACAGAATTTTTGTGTTGACCTTTTAAGAGGCTCTCTACATCTCTTACCATCTCTCCCTGGCAGACAGAAATTCTGCTGCTTTTTATAGCCAGATGTTATTTGGGTTCCTTTCCTGGTTCTAGTGCTCTAGGCTTGGGAGCCCAGGTTGGGGTTTAGACCCTACAGTTCTCAGGGGGAACCCACCCCACCACTGAAATATCCCTTCAGTACTTCATCTGCAGCCCATAGGAGCCCAGCCAGTGCTCTCATGCCTCTGTACTTCCCGTCAGTCTTGTGCAGTGATGTGGTTTCTTCTGTAAGCCCTTGGTTATAAGGTTTCTCTCCAGCTAGTCTTCCGTTGGTTATTCAGGAGGATTTTTCTATAATTTAGTTGTAATTCCAGTTTGGTCCTGGGGGGAGGTTAGAGTAGCTTCCGTCTACTCTGCTGCCATCTTGGTTCTCTCTGTTTTCTTTTTTAACATGAGTTTTCCCCCTAACTTTTGAAAATCATAAGTGTATTTATACTTATTAAGTACTTTTTAAATTCAGTTGTATATCTTGGTAACTTTCCTATGTAAGCTCATAGAGATGTACGTCATTCTTTTTAAACTGTTATATACTCTTTGGTATGGTTCTACCTCATTTTATACAGTGCTTCTCCTAGTGATATATATTAGGTTTCCAGCTTTTCCACAAATACAACTTTTGCTTCTGTGATGCACATATGCAGTTGTTTGTCTGGAGTCATAGAGTCTATGCATTTAGACTTTTGCCAGTTTGCCCACTAAAGTACCTATTCTTCCACTGCAGAGTCTAAGAATACCTGCTTCTGTACCAATCAGTGCTTGATATTACTATATTTTGATTTCTCAATGCCTTTCCAAGATGATAGTAGGGGAATCTGGGTGGTGCTCTCAGATAAGTGCTGCAGTAGTCTTCTGGGTGCAGAGGTGTGCCTCAGGCACCTCCTTAGGCACCACAGTTACTGTTCTTGCAGGACACACACAGCTGCTCTTATTGCTTCTCTCTAGAGACCGGCTGGTTCTCCTGATGACCTGACTGGTTTTGTTTACCTTTGTGCGCCCTCCAGATTTCAGTGTGTACCACTTCTTGCCTACCTTCCTCCACTCTCTATCCTTGTAGCAATTCTTTGTCTTGTGCATTTTAGTCTGTAGTTTTATTTTTCTGCACTATCCCCTCTTCTATCTTTTTTCACTTTCTACAAGTCCAAAGGCTACTGGCAACAATGGAGTATTAAAAAGTGTCCCTCCTGTCATTTTTCAGATACAGGAGGGAGCAGAAGCCTGCATTTAGTTTGCTGGATCTCTCTTCTTATTTTAAGCATGGAGATAAATGAAGGTTTCACTAAGAGATTAATTTGCCTATTGTCACATACTGGTATCAGGACTTTCGAGAGCTCTAGCCTAACTTTTAATGGCACTCACCAACCTGGTCTACTATCTTGAGTTAATGCCTAGTTAGTTGGCTTTAAAAGCCTTGATTTAAAATCACAATCAAGGTGGTGCTTTATGGGTCTCTTAGCTTTATTTTGTTCCTGTTGGTACTTAAAGCACTAGCTAATGTTTCCAATTGCCTACTCATGTACCTGGTACTGTGCTTTGTGCTTTCTTGGCTTATACTTAATTTTTACCACATTCTCATGAGGTAGGGACTTTTATTATGTCCGCTTTACAGAACAGGAAATCTCTGAGTACTAAGAGGTTGAGTGTCTACATGAAGTGTATATTTATTAACATAGCCAGAAATAGAACCGAAGAAGTCTAACTCTAAAATCCCAGTCTTAAGAGCTAGACTTTCCTATTAGTCCCCACTATTCAGATGAGGTTTTTTTTTTTTTTTTTTTAATTCTCTTGGGAATTTCATTGTGATTGTCATAAGGTATTTTCTACATAATACTGTTACAGTCAAAAAAGTTATATTTCTAAAAATTCTTTGTATTCTTTTCTCAATGCTCATCTCTTAGGACCACTGGTGTTAGATGAGACTAGAGTTTATTCAGATAAACAATTTAGTCAGTGCTTTTGTATAGTACTAACTTAGCATGATTTCAGTCTGTGTCAGCCTAAAAGAAATGAAGTATATTTATATTGATTTTGTATAGTATTTTTTGTGCAGTTATAAAAATACGTGGTGATCTTAAAGATTGAATACTTATGTCTAAGGGTTTCTGAATTCAGATGTTCTAATAGGGAGGACAACTTTTAAGCACTAGGAATATCAGTGTTTTTTTCTAGGTAGTAACTTATCTGAATCTAGCTTATCTGGGCCTTTTGTGATGAGAATCAAATGTCAAGATTGCTAAGAATAGTAGGAGTGGAAGTTTTCCCAGTGATAAACAGGGACAATAGGATTTGGTCATGAAAAGAATGTTAGATCACCTGATTTTCCAAATATTCGGGTACTTCTCATTTTTAGCTGATTTTCATTTGATCCTCGGCAAAGTTAAGGAGAAAAAGTGATGTGTTTCAAATAGATAAGATAGTTAGATCATTATTTTACCAGACATCATTTGGGCTAAAGAGGAAACTAAGGTGAGCAAAGGAAATGAGATCACTGTGTGACCTTATTGTTTTTATTAGTGATATCAAAATGTAGGCTTTGTATCTAAGATTCTATGACTGACAGATTTACTGTAGCCATATTAATTCATGTACAAAACTTTCCCCAGAATATCCAGATAATTAAAGGAAGAATGAAAGAGGATTAGAGAGATACAGAGGCAGGGAGGGACATTTATATATAAAGGTATTTGCCTCAGTACTTTCCTTAAATGTTAGAAAATCTTTATATCCCAGTACAAAGAACAAAAAGCATTTACTAAGGAATGGTATTAACATATTTTCTCTTGCTCTTTGTAAAATAATTATTCATTAAAAAATCATTTTAAAGTGAGGTGGAAGATTGCCAGTTAAAAGGTAAACCTTTGACTGTATAATAGTTTGAACTGAGCATAGTACTAGTCATAAACTCCCAACTTAGGGCCAGACTGTTTTACTGTGGCTTTAGGCAAACATTTTGTTTTCTGTTTCATTTCCCTATTTCTCTAATTATAAAGGCTAATATTCATCTACATTTTTAATTTTTTAAATTATTTTTTCAAATTGGTAGAAGTTTGTTTATTGATTTGAGAGAGAGAAGGGGAGGAAGGGAGAGGCAGAAGGGGGCGGAGAGAGAGAGAGAGACAGACAGACAGACATTGATTTGTGTTCTACTTATTCATGCATTCATTGGTTGATTCTTCTATGTACCCTCACCAGAGATTGAACCTCAACCTTGGTGTATCAGGATGACACTCTAACCAAATGAACTACCCATCCAGGACCACCTACATTTTTAAAATCATTAAGATTTACATCACAGTAGTGCTAAGAAGGAACTTATCAAATGTCAAATGAGTAATTGAGATGATTTTTAAATTTTTTTTGTGTTTACCAGTTTATTGTAAAAGATATGATAAAGGGTACAGTTGGACAACAAGATGAAGAGGTGCTTAGGGTGAGGTCTGGCAGGATCTGGAACACAGGAGCTTCTGCCTCTGTGGAATTTGGATGTGTTCATCAATCTAGAAACGTTCCAAACACTGTAGTTTAGGGATGTTTATGGGAGCTTCATCATGCACTCATAATTGATTATTAACGATTGAAATGATTCTAGATCCCTTTGAAATTGTAAAGGAATATAGAAATACTAGAACATCTCACTGCACTTCTAAATAAAGAAATACCTTTGTGCTTGAATGGAAAGCAACTCAGCAGTTCTAGCAGATCTCTTAGAGAGAAAACACAGCTCTTACTCATTTTAGTGAGTGATATCTGAGGGACGTGTACCATCAAGTTACTATAGGCAAAAAAAAAAAATTACTATAGGTGTACTTGTAATTGTTCAGAGGCTGAATTTCTCAGACCAAATCTTCTAATAATAGTGTTTAGGGCGAGTGAAATTCAGTTCTTTTTAATCCTCATCAAGGACATGCCTTTCGATTTTGGGGAGAGGGGAAGGGAGCTAGAGAGCCGGGAGAGAAACGTTGATTAGACGCCTTCTCATACACTCGCACCCCTGATCAGGGATCAAACCTGCAACCTGGGTACACGCCCTGCCTGGGAGTTGAACCCATGACCCTTTTTGGTCTGTGGGATGATGGTCCAACCAACCGAGCTGCACCAGCCAGGGTGAAATTCAAATATCCTTAACCACCAATATTGAAGTCTTGAATTTAATATGATGGGCTGATAACTACTGTAAAATTAAAGTATTTTAGTGTCAGCAGAATATGTTTAACAATCAAGCCTTTTATTTATTGAAATGACATCTGATACATACATTAAATATCAAAAATAAATTCAGCCGTGATATGAACAAATCATTTTAAAATATTGTGTATGCATTGACATTTAAAATGTTTTGCAATTTGATTAGACCAATAGAATAAAGCATGCTCATATTTGGGCGTGCTTTGGGATGTTTCCATAGATAATTTGTGCTCTCAATATTTTGTGTCATACCTTCTTTTAGTGATCGTGGTGGAGAAGACCCAAACCAGAAAGTAATCCATGGGGTTATTAACTCCTTTGTTCATGTTGAACAGTATAAGAAAAAATTCCCCTTAAAGGTAAAAAGTCTCCTTTAAAAACATGAATAATCAGACCTTTAATTTCTTAAATTACTTGTTTTAATTTCTTCACTATGATTTTAATTGATTTATTTAGTTTTATCAGGAAATCTTTGAGTCCCCCTTTCTGACGGAAACAGGAGAGTATTACAAACAAGAAGCTTCAAATTTATTACAAGAATCAAACTGCTCACAGTATATGGAAAAGGTAAAAAAGAAAATTTATGTTAAATACATCATCTATTATATATCAGATGTGGTTTTATGTAACAGTTTTCTTAGTTAATATATTTTTTGGTGATAAAAGTTTCTGTTTGGTCATCACTCTGAGTTATAGTTAATGTATATCACCTATCGATAAATCATTTTTCTTGCTATAGCATTTTCCGTGAGAAAAAGTACTATTCCAATTTTTATCATGATGGATGCTTTTTGATTAATCCTGATTGTTTGATTTGCTTGTATTTAAAATAATATTCACAATCTGGGTAAAATAATCTATATGCTTAGTGGATATATGTTTAGGGAGTAGGATAAACTTAACTGTAGGTGTTTAGGTTTTTATCTTTTCTCCTTTAACATGGAAGAAAAATAAGGAAAACTATAGTACTTCTATAGATACTTAGATAAGTCACTCTTTTGTCTCTTAGGTTTTTGGAATACTGAGAAAAATTTTAATTTCATCATAAGAAATTTTAGTTAATCATTAAACCAACACATACTGATTATTGTACTTAAAATTTGTGTATTTTCTCAGTAAAAGAAGAGTGATAGTATAAACTCAGTAATCTTATAAGATATATTAGAAATTTTAATGAAGCTTTTTTCACCTGTAGCGTTGGATTTCAAGCTTTTTGTTTCTTTATTCCAGATCTTTATTGCTTTTTCTTACTGTTCAATTACAGTTGTCCCCATTTTTAAGCATTTTAAAAAAGATTTTATTTAGTTTTAGAAAGAAGGGAAGGGAGACAGAGAGGGAGAGAAACATTGCTGTGTAGGAGAAACATCGATCAGTTGCCTCTCACACGTCCCCAACCAGCAACTTGACCTGCAATACAGGCATGTGCCCTGCCTGGTGACATTTCATTTCATAGGCCAGTGCTCAATCCACTAAGCCACACTAGCTAGGGCTCAAGCATTTTACTATAGGATGGTATATGTTAGCTAGTTTAGCCAAGAAAGATAAAATGTAAGGAGAATAGCTATACTGTGTCTCCATGGAACATAGGACAAGAAATATCATTACTTTCTGATAAACTGTTAACGTATTTCATAAAGCCCAGGCCTAGAAGTCTGGGCTGTTTTTCTTCCTGCTGTTTTTACTCATTAGCTCTGAGACCTTGAGTAAGTCAACTAGGACATTTTCCTTCATCTATAAGTGCAGGTTACACTAAATCAGTGATTGTCAGCTCTTACCTCTCTTCTGAATCTGAGACTCTTGTTAAAGGATTTAGATTCAATATGAAAAGTGCTCAAAGTGACGAGTGAAGCATACACTCGTTATATCTGATTCTCAAAAAGAGGCCATTAGCAAAAAAATATTATATGGTTCCACTTATACGAAATATCTAGAATAGGCAAATTCTTAGAGACATAAATAGATCAGAAGTTACTGGGAGGGGAGGATAGGGAGTTATTGCTTAATGTTTACATAGTTTTTTTATTTGGTATTATGAAAAAGTTTTGGAAGTATAGTTGTACATTGTGAATATAATTAATACCAATGAATTATACATTTAAAAATGGTTAAAATGACAAATTTTGTTAAGTATTTACCACAATTTTAAAAACACTAATAATGTGTAATATACTGAGAACTATTGAATTGTATACTTTAAATGGGTGAATCATATGATAATGTGCATAATATCTCAAACTGTTGGAAGGCCATTAGAAATTTTTTATAAGACAATTTCTAATGCTGAAACGTAAGTGACAGTAGCTTATGTAAACTTTGAAATGATTTATGAAGTGTTGGGTTTAAATTTGTTATGTAATGCTTATTTGTTACCTGGCCATGTTTAATTGAGCCATTAAAATTAGGCTAAGTTATTTGCTGTTAATTACAGATTTTGCTCTGTAATCTGTTATTACAGATTTTGCTCATTGTTGTTTATCACTATAACAATATATTGCTAAAGGTTCTAGGTAGATTAAAAGATGAAGAAATTCGATGTCGAAAATACTTGCACCCAAGTTCATATACTAAAGTAATTCATGAATGTCAGCAACGAATGGTAGCAGACCACTTGCAGTTCTTACATGCAGAATGTCATAATATCATCCGACAAGAGAAAAAAAATGGTAAGTAATTAAAAATGTAAATACAGATTAAACTATAAACCACTTTTTTATGTAGTCTTCAAGTTACCTTAGATTTCAAGTATATTTTAGCTACAGTCTCTAAAATATTTGAAGTGCTTTATTAATAATCTATTATAAAATACAGTTTTGGAGAAATATATTCACAAAGTGTATTCTAAACTAAAAAAAAAGACTGTAGGAAAATATTGCACATTTTTATGTATCACAAAGGTGAATTTCCTTAATACGTTAAAAGTTCTAATAAGCAATAAGAAAATGGCAAAGAATATGAAAAGGGAATATAAGTGAATTTTAAATATATGAAGATGCACAATCTCTCAGAATAAGTGCAATACAAAATAAAAATACAGTGAGATGCTAGCAATATGCAATGAAAAAATGGAATTTTTTAGAAAAAGAAAATAGCATTCTGAACTTTCAGATAGCAGGGAATAAATCTAACAAGATATGTGCCAGCCTTACACTGCAAATTAAACTTTGATGTATATAGATCCAGGGAAATCTACTCAAAACTGAAATAGGTTTGTTTATTCTGAGTTACTCTTAGATTAAGAACAGTCAAGACAAGTGTTGACTACAATGCAAAGACTTTGCTGGATAGAATGACTTATCATAAAACCACAGTAATTAAGACAATGAGGGTAAACAAATAGACCAGTGGAATAAAATAGCCTAGGAATAACCCATGCATACTAGATACTTAAGACAAAAGGGACACTGCAGAGGAGTAGGTGAAAGACGATAGTCTTTTCAACAAATACTGCTGAGTCCACTGGATAGTCATTTGGAAAAAAAGTGAAATTTGATCTCTACCTCAGATACTATATTCAGAATTGGTCAAGTCATTGTAGGCTTTTGATCTAAATGTAAAACAATAATAATTTTAGGAAATGATATTGGAAAATAACTTCATGACCTTGAAGTAGGAAAGGATATGTTAAATAAGATACAAAAGCACTAACCACAAAGAAAAGATTGATCAAATCACTGCATTAAAATTAAGAACTTTGGTTCATCAAAAGATAGTCAAAGGATAGAAATATATTTGCAGTGACTTAAAAAACATCATGTCCAAATATAAAATGGTCAAAAAATTTGAATAAGCACAGCAGAGTAGAGAATATCCAAATGGCCAACAAACATAAAAAGGCACTTTATCTCATATAGGGGAGTGCCACTTAAAACCATACTAAGATGCCAGTACTTAAATAAAATTTTAAAAACTAAAGATAATAAATGTTGGGAAGTGTGTGGAGTAGGGGGAACTTGTTATACAATGGGCTTTGAAAAACTGACATTAACTGGTAAAGCTGAGTATATGCATGTTATTATGACCTAGCCATTCCTCTCCCATATATATAACTCCTTGCTAAAAGAGCATGCATGTATGTACAAAAATGTTCATAGCAGCATTATTTGTAATAGCCCCAAACTGGAAACAACTCAAATATCCTATAACAGTAGAATGGATAAAGTACAGTATATTCACACAATGGAATAGAATAGAAGGGTGAAAATAAATTACATCTGCACACATCATACATATAGGAACCTATAAACATTGAATGAAAGAAATTAAACATGAAAGAATTGTATGATTCCATTTTTATAAATAGTTCAAAACAGGCAAAACTAATCTGTGGCTTAGTACTTATGACAGTGGTTACCTTTGCAGAAGAGCAAGAGAACTAATGATTGGGAAGAGGTGTGAAAGGGACTTCTAGGTGTAGGTAATGTCTGTTTTTTTACCCTGGGTAGTAATTACATGGGAGGAAGGGTGTGTATCCACTTGTGATAATTCACTGAGACAGAAACTTTTGGTTTATACGTTTTTCTGTATGTATACTTTAATAAAAGTTTTAAAAAAACTTTACACTGAGACATCATTTTTCACCTCTCAGTAGCAAAGATCAAAATGTTTGATAACACATTGCTGGCAAGGGAGCTAGCTCCATGCTTTTGGGAGCTCTGTTTAGAAGGATCCTTCTACAAGATTAAGCTTTGACACAGCAATCCTACTTTGAGAGGTTTATACTTTAGATATTCTTGTCTATATGCAGGAGTATTAATTATAACATTGTAATATCAAGAGATTGGAAACAGCCAAATTTCTATTAGTTGTTAAGTAATTGTAATATATAATGGAGTGCTATACAGTTGTAAAGCATGAAGAAATGCTCTGTATACTGATACAAAAAAGATCTCTAAGTGAAAGTGTTGTGTTCTGCAGTTGCAAATAATACACAAAATACACTACACTATTTTATAAAAAGGGGCAGAAGGAAGAATATGTGTATTTGTCTGAATGTACATGACATAGCTTTGAAAAGATACTAACCACAATATTTCTGTGGGGAGGACGACTGGGTGGTTGGGAGGCAGGTATGGGGGACTTTTTGTATTTTGAATCATATATATTACCTAATATATTAAAATATTTGGAAATCTAATAATTAAATTTTTCCCCCTCAGACATGGCAAATATGTATGTGTTACTCCGTGCTGTGTCCACTGGTTTACCTCATATGATACAGGAGCTGCAAAATCATGTTCATGATGAGGGCCTTAGAGCAACCAGTAATCTTACTCAGGAAAATGTGAGTTACATAAGGAACTGGAAAATTTTTCTCTTAATCAGATTATCATGGAGTTAGGTTTTTTGTTTTTACTTTACTGTCTTAGATAGAGAAATAAAAGTTTTACCATGCCAATAAATGAAATATCTTTATTGAAATGTTTCAAGCCTAGAGTTTATTGGACACATTTTGGAGTTATCAAATTATTAGAAAATCATTGAATTAGGTAAACTTCTTAGTTACTTTGATGTGTTCATTTAGCAATTGTTAATTAACCTCATAGAAAAATATCTTTGCTATTTTCAAATATTTGTATTTCTCTGTAACTGGCATTAGTAGTTAGTTGTAGAAGTAATGGAATTAATCAATAGTAATACAGAGAACTCACAATTTGGTTTCTTTATATATGCTCTAAATTTGGTAGCCCATAAAGCAAATTTAGATTAAAATAATCATCTCTAAATACATGCTTCCTTCCCAAAATACCCAGCAGTGACCATCATGTTCCTAATACCCATCTTTCTAAAAAGTTCTCTGACAGTAAAATGCCTATTTACAACAAGGCATCTTTCCTATTAGTTTATTTCTGTCATCAAAACAGATTGAACCACCTTGTTTTTACTAGTGATGTTTGATGAACAGAGTAGACGTGATATGAAATATTAGTTCTTTTTCCTAGGTAGAGCTATTTACTTGTCATCTGCAATGCAGTAATCTATGAATAGACAACATTATTAAGGGGCATTTAATATATGCTCATCACTTTAGTTGTAGATTTATTGTCTTTGGCAAACCTTAGATTTTATGTCCTACTACAGTATTACATAAGTTTTTTATTTTTACAAACAATTAGTTTATATTTTTATGTTTATTAGTCTGTTATTTATTAGGTTTATTAGTTTATGTTATTTGCTTTATAGATTCAGGTTATTAAATGACATTAGGCATAGAAGCGTAGAGTTTGATGTCAAGGACCGGGAGCTAGAAATACAAGAGAATGCATTTGTAATAAACTCAAATAATTTTAGCTGACTTAAATCTTAGGAACTAACTTTTCTTTTAAATTAATTTTTTTAGAGAAGCAGGCAGACATTGATTTGTTATTGCACTTATTTATGCATTCATTAATTGCTTCTCTTTTGTGCCCTAACTAGAGATCAAATTCGCAACTTTGACATATGGGGATGATGCTCTAACCAACTGAGCTACCTAGCTGGGGCTAGGGACACACTTTGTCCCCATTAAAGTAAAAACTCACATTTGCTCAACTAAGTATTTCTTCCCTCTGAGATGTGGGAAATTGCCCAGCTCCAAGGACCTCAATTTTCATAGATACTGGCTCTTGAACTCTGCTCTCTCTCTTAGCCTTCAGTGGCTTTGAAAGCAGTTTTTGTTTATATAATAATCCTCTGTGAAGGTGATAGGCCTGGCCTGGTGGTTCAGAGATTTTATCTTGTCACCCTTAAGATACAGTATTCCAGCACCAAAGAGAAGTGTGTTTTTAGTGGGTTCTTTTTGGCAGAGAATCTTGAGCCCTGTATTTCTGGTGTTGAATGACAACTAATTTCAACACCAAAGTTTTAGATTTTTAAGACCATTTTAGCTAAAAATATTTTTTGAGGATGTGTGTGCATGTGTAACATTAATTTGCTTGGGGAAACTTTATTCTTAATTAAATGGCTCTAATAAGCCTAATTATATCCTTGAAACTTCTTAAAGTATGTTTTTGTACTTTGTATTTTGTATTTCTAGATGCCAACACTATTTGTGGAGTCAGTTTTGGAAGTACATGGTAAATTTGTTCAACTTATCAACACTGTTTTGAATGGTGATCAGCACTTCATGAGTGCATTGGATAAGGTAACTTTAATAATATCTGTATTTATAGATGCTTCTCAATATATGATGGGGTTATTCCCTGGTATACCCACCGTAAGTTGAAAATTCCATAAGTCAAAACTTTACTTAATACACCTAACCTATCAAACATCATAGCTTAGTTGAGCCTGCCTTAAACATGCTCAGAACACTTAACATAGTATAGATGATTTGCTATAGTAGGGCAAATCATCTAACAATAAATACACTGTAGAGTATCAGTTGTTTGCCATTGTGATCGTACAGTTGACTGGGAGCTGTGCCTCACTGCCACTGTCCAGCATCATTAGAGAATATTGTATCACTTATCACCAGTCTCAGAAAAGATCAAAATTCAAAAGCCAAGTATAATTTTTATTGAATACATATTGCTTTCTCACCATAAAGTCAAAAAAATTATAAAAAAACATTCTAAGTTGAGGAATGTCTGTATCTGGTTGACCCTGGAACAATGCAGGGGATAGGGGCACTGATACCCTGTAGTCAAAAATCCACTTAAAGCTTTTGACTTCCCCGAAACTTCACTGTTAATAGCCTACTGATATTACCAGAAGCCTTACTGATAACATAGTCGATGAATCTGTATTCTGTATGTTTACTGTATGAGGTCTGTCCAGAAAAAGTTCAGCCATTGTTAATATAATGAGAATGGTTTGTGTGACATTGATATAACCTGGCAGCCAAGGAAAGTGGACTGGAATATGCATGCATAAGCAATGATGACTTCACTGTACTAGTCAGTGGTATTGAGTGAGCATGTGTACTATGTGGTCGTTGCATTCAAAATGAGTGAGTAGAGCAATGAATCTGCATCAAATTTTGCATTAAGCTTGGACATTCCTCTCCAGAAACTGTTCAGATGATTCAGAAGGCTTTTGGGGATGATGCAATTAGTGCAGTACAAATAAAAATTAGGCACAAATGCCTCAAGGATGGTTTAGAATATGTTGAAAGTGATCCACATTCTAGAAGTCCTGTGACAAGCAGAACATCTGAGAATGTTGAATGTGTATGGGCTGCAGTCATCAAAGGTCAGAGACTGACAGTGAGAGAACTAGAAGCTAATCTGGGGGTTCCCAAAACTACTGTGTCCAAGATTTTGATGCAGCCTTTTATGAAATGTGTTGTGACAAAATTTGTTCTAGGACTTCTGCGACCAGAGCAGAAGGAACATTGTGATGTAGTTGTTAGTGACTTAATTCAAACCACAACCAGTGAACCAGATTTCCTCAAGAAGGTCATAACTGGAGATAAATCGTGGGCTTATGGCTATGATCTGGAGACCAAGACCCAGTCATCCTAATGAAAGTCACCTGGTTCTTCCTGCCCAAAGAAGGTGAAACAAAGGCACAGCAAGATCAAAACCATTTTAACAGTGTCTTTTTGATTGGGAAGGTGTTGTCCAGCATTAGTACATCCTCCAGGCCAAACAATTAATGAATGCTACCTCAATGTTCTTTGTTGGTTGAGAGATGCAGTAAGATGAAAAACAGTCACAGCTATGGGCAACTGGGGATTGGCAGCTCCATTGTGAAAACGTACCTGCTCATGAGTCACATCTTGTGTAGAGTTTTTTGGTGAAACATCAAATTACCCAGGTGACTCAGCACCCACTACAGCCCAGATTTGGTGTCCCACAATTTCCTGCTTTTCCCAAAACTGAACTCACCTTTGAAATGGAAGAGATTTCAGACCATTGATGGAGATTCAGGAAAATATGAGCGGGCTCATAAAGCCCCCTTTGTTGGCAAATATTCCAACAAAGGATTTTTGCGGAGTGTTTTGAACAGTGGAAGAAATGCTGGAAGAACTATGTGAGGTCTCAAGGTGCCTACTTTAAAGGGAATGAGGTGTCATTGTCCTATATACGGTGTTTCTTGTATCTTTAATGTCTCTCATAGTACATGGCTGAGTACTTTCTGGACAGACCTTGTAGACTATGTTCTCACAATAAAGTCAGCTAGAGAATAGAAAATGTTATTAAGAAAATCTTGAGGAAGAGAAAACACATTTACAGTATTTATAGATAAAAATCTAAGTATATAAGTGAACCCGTGCAATTCAAACCCATGTTGTTCAAGGATCAGCTGTTAATTCTCTTTATTTAGTCATTCTTCAAGGCAGTTTCAGGATTGGGGCTTCTAATTATGAGATTTCTGATCCTGACATGGAGATTAACTTTAATTTGATTATGAAAATCAAAATAATAATAACTTTTAAAATAATAACTGAATGGTTAAATTGAATGTTTGAATTATATGGGAATTGAATTTTCCATGATTATGCCATATTAGTGGAATTGAATGTTAATAAACTCATAATTTTAACTTTTTAGTGCTGATTTTTTTCTTTGAATATAGTATGTAGGCTATATATTTGAAAGAGAAATAAATACATTTAAAAAACTTGAATTTCAGTATGCTTTAAAGGAACTTTGCATACATGGTTATAAGATGTTTGAAAGTGTAGTCTTACCTGTGTTCAGATATCAGTAATGAGCTATAAAGAATAGCTTTCTCCTAGGAACAGAATATGTAAATGTTCTACAGTTATCGTGAGGCATATAGTTAGAGGCATTTACCCTGTGTTTGAAATTAAAATAAAATTAACAACCATCAAAATGCTGTTTTGTGTGGTGTAATAATTTATGGATGTTCAGATTATACCCTATTACTGGTGCCTAATTACTGGTCTGTTTTCTCTTTAGGCTCTTACATCGGTTGTAAATTACAGAGAACCCAAGTCTGTTTGCAAAGCTCCTGAATTGGTAAGTATGATGATTACTTAAAAATAATCTTATAAAACATCAGTATTAGAAAAAGAAAACTGAGGAAAATGTCAAATTAATTTGTTTTTGTAGCATTTTTCAGAAAAAAATACATGAAACTAAATTATTTTTAAAATGATAATCTACATTATATATAATTTGGCATTTGTTTAAGAAATACAGTAGGCTTAATATACTGTAGTCTTTTCTTAAGAAATAATCGAAGGAGCCCTGGCTGGTATGACTCAGTGTATTGAGTGCCAGCCAGCCTGTAAACCATGGAGTCCCTGGTTCGACTCCCAGTCTAGGTTGTGGGCCAGGTCTCCAGCAAAGACCTGAGAGGCATGAGAGGCAACCACACATTGATGTTCTCTCCCTTTCTTTCTCTCTCCTTTTCCCTCCCTCTAAAAATAGATAAAATCTTAAAAAAAAATAACTGAAGGAGAAAAGACTCCATTTTATAAAGTTTGAGTTTTAAAGAATGGTTTGAAATTATTTTCATTACTTCTTAGAGAAATTTTATTTTATATGAAATTGAAAAGAAACTCGATGATTAATTTTTTATAATCATTAAAGGAAATTTAATTATAAGGTTGTAAAAGTTCAAAAACGTACTTGTTTAATGTTAAAAATTATAGAGCTATGCAAAAGTCTTCTAGGTGCTCTTTTGAAACTTCTAGTACTTATATCAGTGTTTTATTGTTCACTGAGTGTTGGTTAGATTTTTTACTTGTTTATAGTCTTTTTAAAAATTTGCCTTATGACATATTTTAAGCTCTTTAGTGCATGTTCATAATTTTTGAACAATAGGCTTTAGAATGGCAGAGACCCTGTCCATTGATATTTTGAATTGTCATTTTGTCTCTTTTGAGGCATGATATGTGTAGAAGGGCTTTTTATAACATTCACTGTCGATTTCTATTTGAGCTTGCTAAGTATTGTGACAATTTACTAAAGAAATCAGCAAAGGGGATGACTGAGAATGAAGTGGAAGACAAACTCACCAGCTTCATTACTGTTTTCAAATATATCGATGATAAGGATGTTTTTCAAAAGGTAAGATGTAAATAGATACGTTTTATTTTTTTTAGTCAGATTTGATTTATTTTTTACCCTTAAGTCATCAGAAAGGAAGTAATCTTTAGAATTTTTTTTAAATATAGTTCTACGCAAGAATGCTGGCAAAACGTTTAATTCACGGATTATCTATGTCTATGGATTCTGAAGAAGCCATGATCAATAAGTTAAAGGTAATGTATGCCTTTGATCTGATCATGTCCTAGAAATTATTCACCTAGCACATAAAGATGTTCATTGCAGCATTATATGTAATAACAGGAAATAATTCATCCACAGGTGCCTGGTTAAATGCACAATGATACATTCATATGGTGGGATATGCAAATAATGTATTGAAGGATAGATCTCTCTATACACATTGATATAGAATTATCCATAAGATAAACAATGTTAACATAAGATTTGTATTACTTGTAAGTGAAATACTCCTTTAAGTACAAGTTTTGTAGTACAGTTGAATTTTAGTTTATTTTTTAATCATTTTAGCTTACACACTGATGAAATAAGTAATAGCTAATTGATATTTGTCTTGAGTTATTCAATAGGCAGACTCTTGACCATAGACCTAGCAACAGTAATATGTTCTTGTTAATCAATATGGTTTATTATTTTTCTTTTTAAATCATATATTTTCTAAAACTGTCTTTACAGCAAGCGTGTGGTTATGAGTTTACCAGCAAGCTACATCGGATGTATACAGATATGAGTGTCAGTGCTGATCTCAACAACAAGTTCAACAATTTTATCAAAAATCAAGACACAGTAATAGATTTGGGAATTAGTTTTCAAATATATGTTCTACAGGTATGAATATGTGTTTTATTTTAGGCATTTGCTAATTTCAAATAGTTTGATATAAAGGATTAATAAACGAATGGCTGATTACCTTTCAATCAATGGATTCTAGCTTCTAACGTTATATTGATTTGAAATGGAATGTGTCATGATAGTAATGCTGATGAGTTTTGTCAACATTTTGAGGAAGGAAAAAAAGAAGTACTTTAGTTGTTTAAATTATTTTATAAATATGTCCTTTCAAGTTAGATGTTTATCTATGTAACTTTATTTTACTTTTTTTCTTCTAGGCTGGCGCATGGCCTCTTACTCAGGCTCCTTCATCTACATTTGCGATTCCCCAGGAACTGGAAAAAAGTGTACAGATGGTAAGTTTGTGGGATATGTATTAGAAGAACTAAGGAATTTTAATACTTGTCTCCATGTTATATCCCTTTAAATGTTTTTCCAAAATCTTAACAGCTTGTGTGATATGAAAATAATATTCACAAATTATAGTTAATCTACCTAGTAGGAAGAATGTAAATTATTATATTCACTAACATTAAAACTCAAACTCTAAGGTTGTCATAGAGTTTTTTGTCAAGACATGTCTCTTACTTACTCTTAGTTAAATCTATGATCTCCTCTTACTAGTTTTAAATTACAAAAATTTTTGATATTAGAACAAAATTTAGAACCTAATGCTTTACAGTCTTTTCTATTTTTTTATTTGAATTTTGAGCCATTTTTATACCTTATTTATCCCTTGTAGTAGTTATATTTATTTCTGGGCTATAATTTAGGTAAATATATGTGGAATATGAAATACTGTAAGAAAATGGATTTAAATTGGAAAATTCAAGTAAAAATTGCCTTAAAGTGTGATTGAATAGAAAACCTTAGAGTGTTTACTGAAAGCTTTTGAAGAGATTGTAGAGACTACTATATCTTTAACAGCTTTAAGGAGATATAATTCATATACCATATGTCTTAGTCTATTTAGGCTGCTATAACAAAATACCATGGACTGAGTAGCTTGCAAACAACAGAAATTTTATTTTTCACAACTCTGGAGGATGGAAGTCCAAGAACAGGATCCCATGTACCAGGGCCCTTCTCAGGTTACAGACTTACTGTATTCCCACTTGGAAGAAGGGGCTAGGGAGCTCTCTCGGGTCCTTTTTATGAGGATACCAATGCCATTTATGAGGGTTCCGTTCTCATGACTTAGTTACCTTCCAAAGGATCCACTTCCTAATACCATCATCACATTATGCATTAAGAGTTCAACATATGAATTTGAGGGGAAACAAACATTCAGACCATAATACTCTTGATTCACTCATTTAAACTGTACAGTTTTAGTGGTTTTTAGTATAGTCACAGACTTATGCAACCATCATCACCACCATTAATTGTAGAACAGTTTTATTACCCCAAAATTACTCCCAAAGCAATCTCCTATGCATTGGTTGTACTCCCTGTTTTCCTCCAACTTTTCCCTTTTCCTCCCACCCTTCCCCTAACCCTAGCCAGTCTGTAGATTTGTTTATTCTGGACATCTCTTGTAGAGTCATATCATATGTGGTCCTTGGGAACTGCCTTCATTCACTCAGCATAATGTTCATCCATGTTGTAGCATGTACTAGTAGTCCATTCCTTTTTATTGCCTTTTAACTGGAAATAATATTCCATGTATGGATATACCACATTTTATTTATCTGTTCATCAGTCGATGGACATTTGGGTTGTTCTCTATCTTTTTGGTGTATGAGTAACACTATGAACATTCATGTACAAGTTTTTGACTGGACATGTTTTTATTTTTCAAGATTACTTTTTTCAATTCTCTAATTCACCAAAAGATGCTTCTTATTTCATGATTGGATAAAAGTGTGGGTAGCATTTTCTGTCTAGAGAAAATCTTCATTATCTTTTAAAAACTTCTGGTGTGGGAATGATGTGAGGCTGTGAACCAGTGAGTTATATATGCATTTATGAAGTTTAAAATGAAAATGGTATTTGACGACACTATTTCCTAGAGATGTTCAACAATGGGTAGTTTGAATTATTTTTTACAATAAGTGTATTATTTTTGTTTCTTTCAAAATAAGGATTATGTATAAAATAACAGTGTGGTCTTTAGAATCACAATTCCTAGTTTCAAATATTTATTACCCCATTAACTAATCTGTGAATTTGGGCAATTAAATTTTTTTTTATTCTCACCTGAGGACATACTTATTGATTTTAGAGAGATGGAAAGGTAGGGAGAAAGAAAGGGAGAGAGAAATATCAGTTTGAGAAAGAAACATCTATTGATAGCCTCTTGTATGTGCCCTGACTAGCTACTGAACCCACAACCTAGCCAGGTGCCCTGACCAGGAATCGACCCGTGGCTCTACAGTCTACGGGATTAAGCTCCAATCAACCGAGCCACACTGGCCAGGGTTGAGCAATTACCTTTTTAATTTTTTGTTAACTGATAATAGTACTACCTCAGAGTGTTGATAGGAAGATGAAATGAAATCATGTAAAGCACTAAAGTACTAGGCCTGCTATATAGTAAGCACTCTATGAATGGTATCTGATAGTACAAGTAATAGTTAAATAGTAGTGGTAATAGTAGAGGACAGTACTATAAACAGCCAGATGTATTTAGGAATACCAGGCGTTAGGTGGGTTTTCAGAATAGAAATATAATTTGGGACTTTTTGCGTCTTCTTAGAAAAGTCATTAAAGTACAAGCCATAGAAAAACTGTGTGAAGAAGAGTATTCATTTGGATGGGCAGATTATGAGCCCAGATTAATATGAATTTTGCAGAAAGGAGAATAGAGGCAAGTAAGAGCAAGGGACTGGGTAGCCATGTAAAGCTACCACAAATATAGCAAAAAGCATTTTGCTATATTTGTGGCCAGGCAAGAGAAACTGACAGTTTTAAACATTTCTTCTTAGGAGCCTGCTTTTCCAATTGAAATTAAGGCAGAATGAGGGATGGCAAAAGTAAAGTTTCCTTCTAACTTTATGTTGTTCTCTCTCTCTCCTTGCAACAATTATTTTCCAATAGTAACTTTTTGTTTTTTGAAAAAAAAAATTTTATTTTTCAGTTACAGTTGACATACAGTAATACATTACTTTTTAGGTGTACAACCCATTAATTAGACATAACTTACTAAATGACATCCTAATAAATATATCCATCTGATACCACACAGTTATTATAACATTATTGACAATATTCTCTATGCTGTAGTTTACATCCCTAGGACTGTTCTGTAAGTGCCAATTTGTACTTAATCCCTTCACCGTTATCACCTAGCCCATCAACCCCCTCCTATCTGGCAAATGTTCTCTGTGTCTATGATTCTGTTTTTGTTTTACTTTGTTATGTTGTTTTTTAAAAATTCAATTGTTGACATATATTTAAGGGAGGGGCAAAAATTGATTTACAGTTGATGTGGAAATTAATACAATAGTGAATAAATAATACAGGGATAAACTGTGCTTTGCATACTCACAACTGTAAACCAACTTTTGCCCCACCCTGTATCACCATTTTATTATTGAAATTTTTCATCCTTTTTTTTTTTCTTTATAAAAAAGACCCTTGAACATTTCATGTGATACCAGTTTGATGGTAATGAACTATTTTAGCTTGTTCTTGTCTGAGGCTCTTTATCTGTGTTTTCTGCTTCCTTAGCTTCTAAATCTCTGATTTGATCCTTTGCTTTATCTGTTCCACTATTAATTCCCTGTAATATATTCTTCATTTCAGTTAATGTATTTTTCATTTCTGAGTGGTTCTTTATGTTTTCTGATTCTGTTTCTGTTTCCTGTTTCTTTGTTGAAGTTCTCACTAAGTTCATCTACTCTTCCCCTAAGTTCATTGATCATCCTTATCAGTGTTTTCAACTTGGCTCTGGTAGATCGCTTGTCTCCATTTTGTTTAGTTGTTTTTTTAGACCTTGTTCTGTTCTTTCATTTGAGACATGTTTCTTTGTCTTCTCATTTTGGCAGCCTCCCTGTGTTTGTTTCTATGTATTAGGTAGAACTGTTACCTCTCCCAGGCTTGGTAGAGGGGCCTTATGTAGTAGGTGTCCTATAGGGTCCAGTGGCACAGGCTACCCATTCACTCAAGCCTGACACTTCAGGTGCAGCCTCCACCATGGGCTGTGTACTCCCTCTTCCTGTAGTTGAACCTGGATTTATGTTGGCATGTCAGTGGGAGAGATTTACCCCCAGGCCTATCAGCTGTAAAGACTGGCTGTGACCATTGAAGTGAACAATCAGCTGTGCAGATGCCTACCTCACAGAGCAGGACTTAGTTCAGAAGAGCTCTGGTACTCACTGAGTCCACCCCTTGAGTGTGTCACTTGTGGAGGTGACTGGGTGGTGCTTTGACATGGTCTGAAGCTTTCTGCAAGGCCCACTGGCTCTTGGACCTCATGGGAAGTACAGGCCAATATCAGCTTCCATCTGCATTGTGCTCCAGGAGTCATTTGGCATGAGCTACAAAATCTGCAAATGGCTGCTACTTGTGCTGGGCTAAGAGGTACCCAGGAGAGGCCAAGTTGCAAACCAAGGCCCACTGCTACTATTGCTGGGCCTGGGGCTACTTAGCAAGAGGTAGGGGGTACACCAAGGCCAGATGCTGCTTGTTTGAGAAATTTTAGGGAAATTAATACTTTTTTAATACTATAAACTTTATTAATATGTGACCTTTATCAGGTTTCAGTTTCCTTATTTACGAATAGGAAGTAAGTTTCTTTCCTATGATAAAATTGTACTTCTAACAATACTTTTCTCTCCATTTGGATGTTTTTTAATTACTAGTAGAGGGAGTTTGTTCTCATATTTGTTTCCTAATCGAAGTTTTCATCTACATAAGAATGAAAATCCATCTGTGTTTACTTAGTAGTATACACTTTCCACATGCAAATTAATTCATTTTAATGATCATTATATTTTTTGTCTTAAATATAGTTCATCAAGAGTTTATTTTATTTTACACGTATGTATCTCAAAACTATGGAAATTAAGCTTTAATTAAAAATAACTTACTTTGCACATTAGATCAATAAATTTTCTTTTATTTCTTTTGTTTACGTGGTCCACAAACCCGAGTAATAATGATGATACTAAAGAAATATAAAGTTGTGTATTAGCACAGTTCTCGATTAGATATAAATAAGCTCATTCAATATGAATGGTTTATTTTTAAGGCCTTTTGTGTTCTAATTATGCTGTCAAGTGAAATGTGAAACATGCTGAAGTTTAGTCAAGGTATATTTCTTACTAATTAACTTTGAAAATGATCAATGATATAGTTAAGCAAGGTTTTACAGCCTTCTTTTTCAATACCAGATAAATGTATAATATTCTCATTTGAAACTAAATTGTTTTCTTATTACTAGCTAACCAGATTTTAAATTTTAGGATAAAGGAATAGGGTGCTTTAGGATAAAGGAATTTGGGTGATTTTTGGTATATGGATATCATCATCAATAAAACTTGACTGGTAGTACCAGTTGCTAGGAGAAAAAAAGAGGTAAAACATGTGCCTTCAGATCTTTGAATATATATTTTAAATCTAGTTTTGCTTTAAACAGTTTCTAAAGAGCCTTTTATATGTTGGTTTTCTCAGTTTTAGAAATGTTTTATTTTGCTTTTGTCCAAAAATTCATTATAAATGTTTCATAATTATGAGTTGTATAGTACAAATCGGATTGTATTGATACCCTTGGAGATTGTTAATTAGTTAAAGTATATTACTGGGATCCTTTTGTGACATATTTTAAAATTTTCTCTTTATCTACATTAGAACCAGAAAGAAAAACTTAAGTATTCCAGGTGCCACTCATTTCCTATTTATCATACAAAGTTATTGGTGGACTTGCTCATAGACAAGAATTCTGCACCCTTGGACAGAAAACATGCTTAATAAGTTTGAGCTTCCTCAGACTAAGCAAACTTGTAATAAACTGATGAAACAATTTTTAAATTTCTTTGGCTGGAAGTGAATCAATTTTGTTGTAAGGAGTTGGCATAGTGCAGCTGATAGGTAAGAAATTCCTGACTTTTGGCCAAGATGGAGGCATACATAGCCACATTTTACCTTTTTGCACAACCAAAATAAAGACAACTACAAATTTAAAAACACAAAACAACCAGTACCGCCAAGAAAATCGAACAGTATGGAAGTCCAACAACCAAGGAATTAAAGAAGAAACATTTATCCAGATTGGTAAAAGGGATGGAGAGGGGCAGCTGAGGCAGAGAGGATGCACAGCAAGGCGGTGGGTGCCAGACCAGGAGGGCGAAGTGGCGGTTGGAGGTCCCACATTCGTGTGTGGATAAACCAGGAGGAACAAATGGGGAGTGAGACAGACTGCACAATCCAGGGTTCCAGCCTGGGAAACGAAGCCTCAAAACCTCTGGCTGTAAAATCCTGTGGGAGTTGTGGTGGCAAGAAAAGCTTCTAGCCTCACCTGAGAGTTTGTTGGAGAGACCCAGAGGGTCCTAGAATATACATAAACCCACCCACCTGGGAATCAGCACCAGAAGGGTCCAATTTGCTTGTGGGTAGCGCAGGAAGTGACTGAAAGCTGGCTGAGAGCCAAGCATGTGGCATTATTTCCTCTCTGACCCCTCCCCCACATACAACGCCATAACACAGCAAAGAGGGTTGCCCCACTCTGGTGAATACATAAGGTGCTGCCTCTTACAACATAACAGGTGTGCCAAGACAAAGAAATATGGCCCAAATGAAAGAACAGATCAAAACTCCAGAAAAAAGAACCAAGTGACAAGTAGATAGACAACCTATCAGATGCACAGTTCAAACATTGGTAATCAGGATGCTCACAGAAATGGTTGAGTATGGTCACAAAATAGAGGAAAAAGTGAAGGCTATGCAAAGTGAAATAAAGTAAAATGTACAGGAAACCAGTAGTGACAGGAAGGAAATCAGGACTCAAATCAATGATTTGGAGCAGAAGGAAGAAATAAATATTCAACCAGAACAGAATGAAGAAACAGGAATTCAAAAAAATTATTCTGGGACAACTTCAAATGTTCCAACATTCGATTCAGAGGGGTACCAGAAGAAGAAGAAGAAGAAGAAGAAGAAGAAGAAGAAGAAGAAGAAGAAGAAGAAGAAGAAGAAGAAGAAGAAGAAGGAGAGCAAGAAATTAAAAACTTATTTGCACAAATCATGGAGAACTTCCCCAATCTGTTGGAGGGTGTAGACATGTAAGTCCAGGAAGCTCAGAGAGTCCCAAAGAAGTTGAACCCAAGGAGGAGCACAGCAAGACACATCATAATTAAATTACCCAAGATAAGGAGATAATCTTAAAAGCAACAAGAGAAAAGGAGACAGTTACCTACAAAGGAGTTCCCATAAAACCATCAGCTGATTTCTCAAACCTTGCAGGCAAGAAGGGGCTAGAAAGAAGTATTCAAAGTCATGAAAGGCAAGGACTTACATCTGAAATGATTCTATCTAGCAAAGCTATTACTTAGAATGGAGGGGCAGATAAAGTGCTTCCCAGATAAGGTCAAGTTAAAGGAGTTCATCATCACTAAGCCCTCATTATATGAAATGTTAAAGGAACTTATCTAAGAAAAAGAAGAAGTTGAAAACCGTGAACAGTAAAATGACAGCAAACTCACAACTATCAACAATTGAACCTAAGAAAACAAAAACAAACTAAGCAAACAACTAGAACAGGAATAGATTCACAGAAATGGAGATCATGTGGAGGGTTATCGGTGGGGATGGGGAGGGGGATGAATGGGGGAAAATGTACAGGGAATAAGAAGCATAAATGGTTGGTACAAAACAGACAGGGAGAGGTTAAGAATAGTGTAGGAAATGGAGAAGCCAAAGAACTTATATGTACGACCCATGGACATGAACTAAGGGGGGAATGCTGGTGGGAAAGGGGGTGCAGCACAGAGGGAATAAAGGAGAGAAAAAAAGGTACAATGCTAATAGCATAATCAATAAAATATAATTTAAAAGGTTAGATGTTCCTAACTGCTTTATTTAATCTTCTCTTTGAAAGTATAGAAAGTAAAGTTTGATATACAAATAAAAGCTTTAGGTATGTTACATATGGCACATCATGCCAAAAAGTCTGTCTACAATTCCCAATTGTGATGTGATGCATTTGTTTATTTTTCAGTTTTGTAATAAAGTTGAGTTTGTATCTTTTTAGAGAGGCTTTTCAGTATTATTTTCTCACTGTGTATTATATAACGGCTCTTTAAATGTTATGAACTCTGTGTGTTTTAGATTGGTGTCCTCCAATTACATGTTAAATCCAATGAATGAATTTTTTATATTTCAAAGTTACAATAATAGAATGTTAAATTTAATTTTCTGCAATAATATCAACAAAAGAAGATACAAAGACAAGTACTCTGAAGTTTTTCTTGAATTAGTGTTTGGATGTGGAAGTTACATCTTAGATATCACATAATCACAGATAGATTAATCAACCTGCTTTTCAGCAAAGGAGTACAGTGGCAAATAGATTAAAAATAAAGGTTGACTGGTATTTTTATATTGAAATTTATATGATGGTGTTTTATCCAGTAATTAGTATTTATGAAGTCTAAATCGATAACTTTCAAAAATAATATGAATCACTATGTGATTACTGAATTTATACAAAAAGTCGTTTTCAGGATTGCATTTTAGTGGACAGCAAGTATGCTGGACAAGGTTGTAAGTGAAAAGAGCTGGAGTAGTATTTAATGATGTTGTTTAGAGACTTGCATGGATACTTTTTGTCATTTATAAAATGAGTAGTTATACTGGAAGGGCTATAATGTCTTTTAAAATAACATGAACATTTTTTAACTTTTTAGTGTAGTAATAACCAAGTAAGTTATATTATAGTAGCTGAAAATAATTTGATTTTTTTTTAATTTTTTACAGTTTGAATTATTTTACAGCCAGCATTTCAGTGGAAGGAAACTTACATGGTTACATTATCTCTGCACAGGTAAAATGAACTTAACTATATCTAGTGTAACAAAACTTACCTGCTATGATTATGTTAATAATTTAGAAAAATTTCCTAGAGCCTAATTGTAGTTTTTTTTCTAATGATTTTTAACCTTTTCCCTTCTACCTTTCTTTTTGGTTACCATGACAGCAACTAATAATGAAATTGAAGTACAGCACTTTCTAATAGTATTTTATAGTTATGCTGTTTATTTTAAGTTTTTCTGAATTTTATAACGGTTTATTACATTTCTGTAACAAACCACTTGTTATAGATATTAGGATTTTATGTAGAAACCCAGACTTGATGAGTCAAATACTCTAAAAAGCCTGTTCTCTCTAAATATGACATATATTCTTGAAAATTTTATCAACTATTATAGCATCATAAGAAGACATAAGCATTTGGTTTTTATTTGTGGCACTATTAGTGAACTGCAGTAGTAAATGCTTTTTCCAGAATGTCCCACTTAATTTCCAGCAGTTTCCAATTTTAAAAAATTTAGAATCTAATCATTTCTTTTGCGTCTTTCTGGAACAGTGGGGGTTGCTGTTATTTATTATTATTATTATTATTATTAATTAACAGTAATAATAATCTTTATTATCTTAAGTAGGGGTAAAACCTGAATGATTGTAGACTATGTGCTCTAAGTTGCCCGAAGATGTTAGCTAAAGCAGTGACTCATATATTCTGTACTTACACTTTGAAAAATGCAGTAAATTAACTTTCCCTTTGTATAAGAAGGAAAAGGTATATATGTTAATATGTCTTAGAAATGGTACAGGAAAGTGTCTCTTAGAAATGGCAGAAGAAAATCTAATCAATTGCCATAAACTTTACTAGGAATCTTTCTATTTATTCACTTAAGAAAAATTTCATGAAAGTAATTTCTCTTAAGTGCCATTTATTTGACTAATTGACATTTGGAATGTGATCTCTCCTTATGTTAGTAATATTAGGTCAAATAATTTGTACATAGTAATGTATGTTTATACAAGTTTATCTTTATTGAATAACTTGGGCATTTTAATTTTTTCAATAGTTTGTGAAGTAGAAATGTTTATTGATATTTTAATGTCATTGGACTTTAATTTTACATCTGTAGTGAATATTTTCTACTCCCATTTAGTACATATAATTGATTTTAAGGATAAAATGACTAGACCAGTATTTCAGATAACTAAAAAAGCAAATATATTTTAACATACTTGAATTTAATTTACTTCTACTTCCCCTTCATATATATCTTGGGAAATTTAAACTCTTGCTTATTCTCTTTACCTTAGCAATAATTAACTTGTCTCCTAAAGTAATTTTAATGAGAAATGTACTTTTTTGGTGTTTGGCAACTAGTTGTATACAGAAAGAAAGGAAAAAGTATGTACATAGTTTTTGCAGTTGGAATTTGGCCTGACAATTGTTACCAATAATATCTAAGTAGGAAAGAAAACAATGTTCTTTTTCTGTTTTTTAAGTTTATACTAAATTCCCAGGCAGGTCCATAATAACCATAGTTTTGGAGGTCTTTCATCTAGTTTTAGTGTTTTGTATTTGTATCTTAATTAAAGCCAAATAGTTTCTTGCTTTGGAAAGAGATATTAATTAACCTTGTAAATTCATTTCTTGTTCTGAGTCACTGAAACCATTGGGTAAAGTTTGCTTTTGTTTTGTAAATAGACTAAAACACCTGCACTAAACAAAAGGTTTTCAAAAACCATCCATATATAATATACTTGTTGTGGCCCTGGCCAGTGTGGCTCAGTTGTTGGACCGTCGTCCCATGGACTGAAGGGTCACAGGTTTGATTCCCAGTCAGGGCACATTCCTGAGATGCAAGTTCAGTCTCCATTCAGGGGCATATGTGAGAAGGCAACCGATCATTTCTTTCTCACATTTATGTTTCTCTCCTTCTCTCCCCCTCCTACCTTCCCCCTCTCTAAAAGCAATAAGCATATCCTTGGGTGATGATTTTTTTTTAAGACACTTGTTCTGGAGTGCCCAAAACATTGGCTCTGATCCTGGCCTGATTTATTCAGAGTTATGTTTCTTGAGAACTACTATATTTTGTACTTAGACAAATAATCACAATTCCTCTTTAGTAGTCCATTTCCACATTCCCAGGTATTTTTATGTTATAAGCCGAGAGCCTCCACAAATTGTTGGAAATGGAGTATAAAATGGTATTTGAAGGCATTCAGAATCAGAAGATGGAGTGTTAAGTATTAGCCTTCTGGCTTTGTAACCTTGAGCAAGTTACTTAACTTCTCTGAGCCTGTTTCTTCATCTTTTATCTTTGTAAATTTCATTCATCAAGTCAGAGAAAATCTTCTATGTTCCAAATACTTCTAAAAGAAAGTATTCAGATACTCAGCCCTCAAAAAGCTCACATTTATTTGGTGGACAGACAAGTAAATATTTATAATGTGATGTTTTGAATGTTGTAATGGAGAGGCAAGCCCAGGGTATTAGATATCACACAGAATGGTGGTGCCAAATAGATAATGGGTAGATAACATCTAATCTTGATTTTCAAGGATGAATGTGACTTAGCCAAAACAAACAGAAGAGTGTTGAGAGTGTATGACCAACAGAGGTAAATATTTTTAAGAATTAAGCAATCTACAGCAGCTATTTTCGACGTTTTTCATCTCATGGCACATATAATTTAATTACTAAAATTCTGTAGCGTGCAAAAAATATATTTTTTGCTGATCTGACAAAAAAAATAGGTATAATTTTGATTAATTCATACCCGATCGCTATTATCGTGTTGGCTGTCATTTTTTATTTGATAATCTAAAGGGAAGGAGGTCATTGCTCCTGATTAAATAGCCAGGTATTGAATGTTTTTTAAAAATTCTTGCCACACACCCATTGAAAATCATTGATCTACAATATCAGATGTAACACTTACTGAGAGAAAGATGAAAATCCCATTGAATTTATGACTAGGACATTGGATAGAATTATGAGAGAACAACTTGATGAAGGCCAGTAAGAGAACCTGGAAACTGTTCCACTGTCTGGTTATAAGTAAGTTTCAGTTGTGGCAGAACAAGAAGTTGCAAGAAGCCCTGGTCAGTTGTGGAAAGATGAACTCAGGGGAGATAACACTTCATTGCATAATACATAGACATGTAGATAATACACAGATAATATATATGATTAGCTCATATTAGCACATACTGAACTGTAAATCATTATATGTGTCAGTAGTTAATATTTGCTATCAAGATGAAATCTGGCAAGTCTCACAAAATGAAGGTCACACTGTATTGTTGCACATATCTTAAAAGTGATTGTATCAGTGACTAAATTTTCTCTTAGTGATTTCAAGTATTTCAGCAGCTAAAATGGCAAGGGGTTTTAATATTATCTGATGTCCAGTCCATGTTCAGATTTTCCTGATTGTTTCCAGTTACTTTGATGGCTGTTATTAATGTAATCAAATATTGCTAATTGCATTTGGCTTTGGTGTCTTCCCTCTTCCTTTTGTTACCGAGCACAAGTGGTTCATCACTTGGGGAGCTCTATTCAGGAATGAGATGTGATTGTTGCAAGGCAGTTTTATTTACTTGCAGCAAGTAGAGAAGACAGGATTCATATCCAAAGCTCACTCTCTGGGAAGGCAGGCACAGTCATTACTTATATTCACTATTTGTTCAGTTACTTACTGATTACTTTCATCCAGTTTAGTTCCTGTCAGGCTCATCATGTTTACAGCTGGTTTGCAAATACTGTGCTACAGTCTAACATTTAGCAAGAATAACATTCAGAAATACCCAGACCTTGAGACCCTGTTCTATCAGTTCCCTTAAGATTTTTCACTCGTCTTTCTTGAGGGAATAGGGACGAGGGTCATATTTCTGTAACTGCTTCCCGCTGAACATAGACTGAGTACATCTTTGAGTTAGGACTGAAATTCACACCTATAAAAGTCTTAGGGCCCCCTATGTTCTGGGATTCCTGAGAAGAGAAGTGTGTGATAGTTACTATTTCTTTTGAAGAGCAGCTTGAGGTCAGATGGGTTCACAGGAGAACCCATCTGACCTCAAGCTTATTGCTTATTCTCATTGAGTGGTAGAGATGGCTTCAGTACAGAGTGATGTATCCAGCAAGTTATATCTTGTAATTTCAGAGAATAATGAGTTGTTAATAACACAGAATAAGGACCTGTCCATTTTGGGTTAAGGTGGCCTTGTGGGGAACCTGATTTCCAGGTTTTTTATATACCCAGGTCCCTGGATCATATAGGCCCTGGATCATAGCTTAGTGTTATGATGGTGTGGGTAAAACTAGTTTAGCATATACATTTAAGTTTTCAGTTACCTACTTGGATAATATGTGTAACAGCCTGTTCTATAAATGAGTCTGGGCAGCCTAAAATTTGAGAGGAGCCCAAGAAGGGCCTACAATACATAAGTTAAAAAGTTCTTAATTTAAACATTCCTTTAGGTGCTACCCTGATCTGAGTCAAGGCAATTGGTAATAATTCAAGCCAGGTCTAATGAGTTTCTTGGCACGGTTTGGCTAGGGTCTTTGTGAGCATCTGATTAAATCATTCTGTTTCTTCTGAAGACTGTGGTCTCTACAAAGAATGTTAAGACCCACCTAATTTGGAGAGCCTATACTACTCCCTTTATTATGGCCACTGTGAAAGCTGGACCATTGTCACTCTGAAACGTCCCATGGGATCCAAACACACCATTTCCTTAAGCTGGCTTTTACAACTTCATTGCGCCTTTCAGTTTGTCCTGGGAATGCTTCAACCCATCTAGTAAATGTGTTCACTAACACTAATAAGTATTTGAATCCTCCAGGAACATGGGGCATTACTGTAATGTCCACCTCTACTCCTTTCCGGGCAGCATTCCCAGGCCAGGACTGCCTGACTCAAAGGTGGTACAAGAGAACTAGTACATGCATGATTCTTTGTGCATTATACTCAGCTAGCCATACACTATTAATGATTCTTTTCATTTCCTGGGTCACTG